GATCATGTAGAGGAACCTTTTCACGCAAGGGCCTAGGATGATACGGACCCGACTTAATGTTGCCCTTGGATACCTCGTAACCATGAAGTTTTATCTCTTTAGTAACGAGAACACTTTTGGCTTCATTGAATGTTAGTCCGTACTTATCGGTCACGCTAAGGGATTTTTGAAGTGTTGGATAATGCTCCGCGAGGTCGTCCCCACAAATAGTAGGGTTGTCCACGAAGACGAAAATATTCTTTAGACGCTCGCGTGCAATTATGTCATCGATGGTACGCTGGGAGCACGCAACCCCGTTGGTCGCACCAAACGGGATACGACAAAATTGATATAAACGTCCACAGGCTTCAAAGGCAGTTTACGGTCTTTCCTCTACCCGGATAGATATCTGGTGAGAGGCGCTCTTGAGATCAAGTGTGCTGTACCTGTCATAGTTTGCAATGCGTTCAGTCATTTCGTCTATTCTGGGGAGGGGCAGGCATCTAGAAGTGTGTCACTGTTGATCTTTTGGCTATAATTGACAACCATCCGCTTTTGGTGGTTTTCATTGGCTACGACAAAAACTTGGGCTCGCCAAGGGGATAATGAATGCTGAATTACACCCTCATAAAGAAGGCGGCTAATTTCTTATCGTATAGATCTCTCATCCATATTGGTGTGTCTACGAGATTTAGTAGCGATAACTTTGCAGTCTGATGTCAGATTAGGAAGCAAACAGGGAGGCTCGACGCAGGCGGCGGCCACAGAACAAGACGAGAACGTAGGTTAAGGTCCACCGAAAGGGATTTCAATACTTTTATGGAATCGGATAAAGTCATGTCCAAGTAGAACATCGGCGCACAAATCCGGCAAAATCGATGGCTTGATCTTCTCGTATATTGCAACTTTATATTTAATGCTGACAAGAATATGTCCCTGAGTGGCGCTGGTTAAGGCTGTTGCGAGTGTTATGAACCTTCCACTCATTTCGGAGCACCACGGAGGAAGAAATGTAACTTTCAGAACTACCTGTGTCAAAAGGGCCTGAAAATTAGTCTCATTTATTTGTAATTCAACGACTGCAGTTGAAAGACAGTCGGGAACAGCAGCTGATGCTACGGCGGGAATGGTGGGATACATAGCGAAAGAGAAGGCTTTTCGGTTTCGTGATGCTAGGCACGCCTTTTGAAAATGCCCTTTTTTACCGCACCTTTTGCATAACGCATCGCGTGCGGGACACATCGGACGGCGGTGCTTGTCGTATCCACGAAAGAAATATTTGCTATGGGATGAAGTAGGAGCCACTAGGTCAGGCTCGACGAAGTTTTACGTGGCTGAATAGCGGTAGAGAATGAGGTTGTCGGAGGTTTCTGGTACGATAGAGACTGTTTTTCTGTCAATTCCAGTAACCTTGAATGATCAAAGGCAGTTTGAAAGTTCGAATTCTTCTGCTCCAATAACCTCTGCCGAATCTGGCTTGATGAAAGGCCACTGATGAACGCATTTCTAGTGGCATCGTCGCGATTTTTTCTGCCATAGCTGCTTTATAATCACAATCCTTAGCTAAGGACTTTAGTTTTTGAGCAAACAGGTCGTGGGTTTGCCCGCCTTCCCATCTGTAGGTTGCCAAAAGATGGAAGGCAGAAATTTCGTTTTTAGGTCTTCGGTAGAGATCTCGCAGCAATTCAACTTCTTTATAACTGGTGCGCACTCACTAATGGATTTCCAGATTGTCAGTGAAACGCAGTTAGTCAGAACACTTAATTTATCCGGTTTCGGGTAATCGATCATAGACAAGACATTTTCAAAAGTGCGCAACCAATGATTTCACTGCTTAGAAGCTTTTTGAACATTTGTGTCAGCATCGAATCGTTCTGGCCTAAGGGATCGATACATTCTGGAATTGTAAAATGAATAAATTGTGGTAGCTAGGACCGTAGCAAGCACACGATAAGCAGAGGATGAACGAATATGGATGCAAGAGTCAGAACGAGAATACCCTATAACAGGGCTTCATTCATCTCAAAATTGATGCACTGGAACTAAAACGAGAAACAGAAAAGTAGTAGATAAGATGGAATTTAGCCAGGGGCTTATGTTAGCATGACACATACCCAACCCCGAAGTGTGGAACACCTGGAGCTTGATCCCCCGACTTGCTAGTTAGAAGTCCAACGTCTCCAACCACTGTGCCACGGGCTCGTTGTCCTGTCGGTTGCGATCGGGAATGTACGATGGGTATGACTGGCTGACGACGGCTAGCAAGCCAGAAATGGCCATCCCAGTCTCCCTTGTCTTTGTCCGTAATAATATTCTGCCTATCATTAGTTTAGTCGAGATCGGTCAGCCGGCGGCTGGGTGCAAATCAAATACCGTCAATTTCATGTAGAATATTTCCGAGAATCCAATCAATGATGTACTTGGGCAGAATAGGCGACGGGATAAAACCTTGCCGAACGCCACATTGAATACGTAAAAGCTGTGAGAGATCGCTATGGACTAGAACTCGCACGGTGGTTGAGCGGCAGTAGGCCTTGATCATGGCGACGATTTTAGTCGACATACCATCTAGTTCCACGATGAACGGAATCGAATGCAGCGGCAAAGTTTGCAAAGGTGGCCTCGGTCTCTAGTAGGCATGCCGGAATTCTATAATGAACTTCAGTGTGAATATCTGGTCGACAGATCCAGGTTCAGATCTGAACCCGGCCTGGTAAGGTCTCAATCCAGAGTCACGTATAGCCTGGCATTGCCCGAAAAGGACGGAGGCGAGGACCTTCGCTGCAACATCGATGAGCCTTATACCGCTGCAGTTCTCGCTCTCGTCTTATGACCCTTTTTGAAGACGGGCACAAAGATGCATGAGCTCCGATCATCGTGACGTCATCGGGGCCGGCTAAACCAAATATGGGCAGAGCCGTATTAAGCGCACGAGGCTACTATGAATTTGGCTGAATTTCCAAAAGGGGGTAAATGCCGATTTTACCTGCGTTTATTCCGTAGGAAACTAAACCCTCCTTATTTTTTTGTCCTCAAAAAGGGATGTAACAGGTATCTCATCATCTAGATGACAGAGATATTCAAACGCAAACAAAATCTAATTTCAACTCAGATCGTATCTAGCCTGGAAATGCAAACTGCATGTTCCACTAAAGCCAGAGAAGAAAACGAGAACGTACTTTTGCAAACGTATCCGTAACATGAGACTTTGGCTGATCGGTGTGTTTGCTGAGAACTAACTGAAGTGGACCAGATCCGCTGAGAAGAAGGGAAGTCTGCGAAGCGGGGGCGGAAACTAGACGTTCGCTACCATGTGTCAGAAGAGAGGGCATTACCAGGCGCCCATTGCGACTGGCAACAATGGCGGAGGCCGGTCGAACACGATCATGCTCTAGATCAGGTGTCTCGTCAGCCCAGGATGTGGGAGGTGGGCCATTGGAATAGGACTTGGGACGCGTGACGGATGGGCTTTGCACAGAAGTTCCACGCATACGGGTCGGTGTGGAGGCATTCGAGGTCGCATCAATCCAGAGGGGGTGCGGAAAATGGCAGCGAGACTGCGCAGTGGACTCGATGAGTTCACTGCTTCCTACTTGGAAGCGGCCGCTAGCGGATGGGTCAGCTGACCTTTGATTGAATGAGGAGTGCAGGAGCTCCGAACAGGACGGATTCCGTCTCAGAATCACGTCAGTGCGGCCAAACCTGGTGTCTTTAAAAGAAGATATAACTGCGTGTTTACAGTGGGCAAAAACACAAAGGCGATGCCTGCAACTTTTAACCCCCAGGGACGGTGTAAATGAAGCACGGCGAGGCGGATATGGACCTCTAAGATGCTGATCTGACAAACATAAGGGGTATTTGACCTATGTGGGAAAGGACCGAGAAAAAAAGGTTCAAAAAGTAGTCAAATGGTGATTCAGACAACCGACTTGATAGAACTTATAACTAGGAAAAAATTGGTGTCATGACTTCATCTAATTCATGAGCTTGTTTGAAAAAGGCTTTAAAATAACAGCAAAAATCGATTGGCAAACTGACATGAATAAAGAAATAGTATAAATGGACACTTACCTTTTGCGTCATGGTCAACCTGCAAGGGGAAGAGAGGTAGTGAGTCCTGTCCGATGATACCAGTAACAATTGGCTTATAGTTAGATTCACCTAAAACGTGTTCTGATGACCGACGTTCAAGATCAGTCGGTTTGGGCAGCACGTCGTGGTGTACAGATAGAGCCCTGACATCCTTCCTGCTTGCTCTTCCGATATTGAAACTGGACAATCTTCCGCGATGAAAAAGGACGTTTGCGAGCGTTGAAAATTTCTGGGGCTCAGGGCATGTGTCGTAGATTTCGTGTGAGCATTCAACATCTTGAAAATCGCATTCCTCAAAGAATATGATATGTAGGGGCACGTGGCCAAATTCGTCTTTCACGGGCGCAATTGACAGTTCACAACGCTTCAGGTTGTCTAAGAGTAATCAAAAGGGACCTTTCTTACTATCTTTTGTATAGAGATTAAGATGCAATCTCGTTTCCTTGTCACAAAATAATCCTTTAGAAAATTTCCTGATAGATTCTGACGATGTCTCATTGCCGTATAAGAAGGTCAAATTGGCCGACTTCAGTAGCAACTGTGCTTTCGAATACGAGAAGAGGCTACAGAAGTCGGCGCTGCAGAAAATTATAGGGCTCGAAAAAATATTTGAGTTGGCTATAATAAAGGCTGCATCTGGAAATATAAAGGCAGTAGAAATAAGTACATTTGTTGTCGAATTTTTTTATGAGTGCATCAATGTAGGTATTCCTTGGCGCTACATGACCTCTCCTTATCGGCATTTCACTCGCGGCACATGCAAGAAATCACATCTTCGTAAAATGCTCCTTAATGTTTCAGAGCACAGACTGTCGTAAGTGTTCCGTAACAACATAAAAATCTAAATTTTCCTAAGTTTTTATTGTATGTCTTTTATTGTTTTAAATGATTTTCAGTAAACGCGCACTATTTGGTTGTTTTGCTTCGAGATGCCCGCCTCTGACAAGGTTTGCGTTTCTCATGTTTGTGAAGTTGTTTCGTTAGGCACCTGGCTGTGATCTCGCCCAAAGGAGTAATTCGGACTTTGTTATTGACGGCAAGTGGAAACTTGTCCGAAAAATTGGAAGCGGTTCTTTCGGCGAGATTTTTTTGGGCATTAACATACAGAACGGCGAGGAGGTGGCGGTTAAACTTGAGAAAGTTACCGCTAAACACCCGCAACTGTTCTTCGAGGCCAAAGTCTACCGTGTTTTGACGGTAATCTTTTTTGTTATTTATTTTTTTCAAGGAGACCCCTGGGTTGCCGCACATCCACTACTACGGCCTCGACGGCGTCAATAATGCCTATAACGCTCTTGTCATGGATCTCCTTGGCCCAAGCCTTGAGGACCTCTTTAACTTCTGCGGCAGATGTTTTACTATGAAGACGGTTTTGATGCTGGTGGACCAGATGCTCTGGCGAATTGAGTTTGTCCATAGTCGCCATTTTCTCCACAGAGATATCAAGCCTGACAACTTCTTGATGGGCATTGGGAAACATTGCAACAAGCTTTTTATTATTGACTTCGGTCTGGCTAAAAAGTACAGGTATTAACTATTAGTTTCGTGTATGCTCCTTTGAACTTCCCACCTTTTCTCATGCAACCATTCGGTTGTTCGATTGACGACGATCCATAAGTTGTTGGGGATGCTAAGTAATCCTGTTTCTTGTTACCAGACTTTTATCACAGTATTAATCACTTTTTTAATCGCTTATTTTACTTTTGAGGCTTATTCTGAGTCCGTGTACTAATGCGTCTTCTATCAGTTTTTTGTCTCTTGATGTGTCCTGATAACAAAATGCCCTTCTGACACTACTCTGACGGACAATGTTCCGTCTCATTCCCCCTACGTATTTAAATTGCACTTTCTCCCTTCCTTTTCCTTGAAGTTTCATAAGGGGTGGGAAATCATCTCCATTTGTCAATGGTCTGCTTTTTTACTCCTCAATTACAGGCGTGAAAGCGTACTTGTGAAGTGCAGGACTAGTAATTGCACATGTGCCAGTCTGGGAAGCCACACAAATTATTATTATTATTTCTGGATACATTGCGTGTTCTAGCTGGCTTCAATTATGCCTCTGCCCGAACGGAAATTTTTTTGGAAATGGTCCAGTCTGTTTGGCCGTGTGATGATGGCTATTAAGCCATATATAGCAATTCCAGCCTCGGTCGTCTCCGGCCTCATTATTTATCTTTATGCGATTTTCTGCGGATCTCTTAATTGAACTTCAAGCTGGAAGACGACGCGCACGTTCCTGACCCTGATTTGTGGAGGACCTTCCTGTGACCTCCAGCCTGTCCATCTTACCATCGAACCCAACATGCGCTAGTTAGTTTCGGTCAAAGTAGTGGGCTCATCCGGACCGTCGCATTTACGGACAAAATTCAGATAAGTTTCAGAAGACGGAAGACAGTGGTTAGAGGGCTTAGTTCTGTACAAAGGGATCCCGATATTGACGATATACCGTCCCCTTCGTATTTATCGGTCTACGGGCTTCTTTTTGACTAAAAACTGTTTTGTTTCTGGCTGCCGGAGCTTGCTGGTTTCATTTTTCTCATCTATTTTTCCGTCCAGCGTCTTTAACTGCATTAGTTCTCAGGTCTTTGCTATTACGCCGTAGGCTTGATGTCCAGTAGGTCGCACAATTTTTCTATTGCATTCGCCATGAACACTTTAGCAGTTTAGTTCGTAAACCGTCTTGTGTCCCAGCAACTATCTTGTCGTTGCGTTTGCCTTTTTTGTTTTTGGCCACAGGACTTAGGACGGACTCTGTTTGTACATGCATTTAAAAGGATATCTTGTTTACCTTCGTTTTAGAGATGCCCGGACGCACCGTCATATTCCTTACCGGGAAAACAAAGCCTTAACCGGCACGGCCCGTTATACCAGTATTAACGCCCATGCGGGCATCGAACAGTCGCGTCGTGATGATCTCGAGTCGCTAGGCTACGTTTTGATGTACTTCCTTCGAGGTTCACTACCATGGCAGGGGTTAAGGGTGAGTAGATAATGCACTTAAGCTAGTACTCGTAACGTTATTAACTATGTCGAATGTTGTTCAAACTAGTTTCCTTTTAAAAGCCACTACTTCTAAGGCGTCTTGCGAAACGAATTCGGTTACACTTTGAATTTATCCTCCAATTTGGCTGTAAACTTTGTGATCATGACGTGTGTTGCTCCTGCTTGTGACTGAAGTTTTTCCCGCGCGGCTTCAGGCATTTGGCCTAAAAACATAAACAGTAAGCTTTGTCACCCCGCATTTCAGTGTTATCCACTTTCAGGAGTTTGCAGTACGCATCCCTAAAAGTAAACATCGTGTGCTCTGGATCACTAAATAATTTTTTGTCTGGATATGATACTCAGACTGATTTGTCAACAATTCCCTGGCCTCGCAATTTGAAAAAAAATAAATTGACGAAATTTTAAGTTTGGACGCTGTTCATCGACGGACGTATAGATATGGCAAAAATTGGGAACCAGAGCTACTGCAACTCCTCCCTGCAGGCACGCCGCTTACTTCGTAGTTTTAGATCCAGTGTTCGTTAGTCTGTGAATTAGAGAGCACGTGGTTTCAAATGTTTGAGCGAGCTTGTTTTTACATAAGTCGACCATTTTTGTCGGAATTTCAGTCTTAACATCATTAAGCCGTACAGTATCTTCCACGCCAGGAACAATGAAAAAATGAATACTTTCTTCGGTCAGTCGCCAAACTTTTTTGTCATACCATTCCGATTAACTGATCTGTTTGTTATCTGCGCCACTGTTTAGCACTTTCGCCCCTTTCTGTAGTTAGAGTTGCTTGGAAGAACGATCATTTGCTTTAATACGAGTTGCCGATCACGAGTTGGGAATATTTGGGATGCCTGATACAAAGTGCGTATAAGTAAATTTCTCCTTTGTGGTAATGGTCACGACGGTTCATCAGCATTGTGTCCTTTAAGCACTGAGGGCTCTGGGCAGATGGTTTTCATGTCGCCCGAGCTTTGGATCCGTGCACCAAAACCACCCGATTGCAAATGCTATAAACATATGCTTTTCCTTGTCTCACAGCAGTCTTGTAGACGCGGTAGCTGACGAACATTAACACGAGTTGTCCTTGTATTTGATATTCAGGAAGTCCACTGTCGTATGCATCTGTTGGATTGACACCCTATGCACAAACATCCAATCCTTGGCTACTGGGTACGCTGGAGTCTAATCTCGTGGGATTTTTTTTGTCAAGACATTGTACTGACAAGCAATGTCATTTCTCGTGCAACGAGGCCTTTTTCACATGCGCTCACATATAAGTTTGTAATTACGGCACACCGTTGGTACACAGCGCTCACGACTTAATATCGTAAAAATTGAAGTAGCATTACATGTGATCTTAGGTGCGGTGTTATGCCTTTGGCGAATCACCTGATAGCTGCCGCTTTATAAACAGAAGTTGCCCCGCCAAGATGTTCGAATTGTCCCCGCCCCTGAAATCATCTTGCCTCTATCTGACTCCCGTGTTCCATCCAGCTAATTCTTCCTGGATAATTGAATTTACGTAGGCCTCACAGCGCGATGGTTTAATCTGTCGCTCATGTTTGTGAGTTGTCGGCAGTTTTTTCTGTTTTTTTTTGAGTTTACCATGTAGGTGTTGGGCAGATCCTTGTTCGCACTTTGTCATGATCCCGGTGGTGTTTGCCCGTTTGGAAACATTTGCCCACCTGAAAAGCCGTTTCCTATGACCGCGAAGTAGTTATTCTTCTCCTTGTTGCAACCGTGTGTTGTTCCTAGAACCTTTTATTTTCAACCTTCGGAATCTAGTAGGTTTGTGATAGCAACACGCGCTCGTATAATGTTGTACATGTCTTGTGGCCAGTCTTGCTCTGGAATGAGAGAAATGTGTTCGTGAGATTACCGTGCTCTGTCTGACGACGAAGACCGTCTGGCTCGAAGGGGCATCAGCAGCCTCAGTGTCTATTTTCCTGTTTTCGATCCCTTTAGTCAATTGCCAGAAAAGAATACTTTCTCTTCTTCGGTTTTGAAGTTTTTATGCTGTTTTGTCACTGTTTTTTTTCGCAGATAATAGCTTTGGTCGTATTTGTTGATTGATACATACATGCGTCCTCGTTGTCTAGAAAGTTAGCTTTATCATCAAAAACGTACAGCTAATAATACTCCTGACTAATCAGGGAAAAATTCACAAATGTTCTATTCTAACGTATTTTGCGGATGAGTACACGTGCTGGGGTACTTTCAGCGATCAAACTGAAAAATTTTCATTGTGCATTTTTTTGCCTTTTTATTACTGATACATTTAGTCCAGTTGACAAAGAAACCATTGATTTCTTCAATTTTGAGACCCTTTTTTTATCCCTGCTTACTTCGAGATACGTTACAAATTTGGTCTGTGAACATAGGTCTATTATTCAAACGAATGACGCGCCACCTGTTCATTTTGCCAAGCACATCAAGTTAAAAGGAATCATAAGTGCATATTGTCATGTGCGGAAGTTAGATCTGACAGTTTGATCATCTTGACAACGTGCACTGCGTGACGCACGGATTGGTGGACGCAGGACAGTGATTTGCTTGCTAGATAGTTTATGATGGTAATGGACTTTCACAGCACTCTCCTACCTCACTCACCTAGGCCCGGCGACAACACAGTTAAGACGACCGGAGACGGATTCAGGCGCGGTGGCTGGCAGCTCGTCTACGCACAATATACCAGGTTTTCGCAAAAAGGAGCGAATTGGGTCCCACGTGAATTAGAACATCATAAGAACCAGAGTAAGAAAAAGCCGTTTAGCCCGACTCAGTTCACCGGCCGCTCACCACACATACGCATAATTTACTGACCACATGGGCTCAGTTATCCCGTCGGTTAGCAACTTTCCAAATTCTGATTTTTGCGCTCCTTGCGGATTCAATTTCGTCAGATTTTTTATAGTAAAAAGTACACTGATGTGCCTTGGGGGCAGATTCCGTAGTGTCGGCTTCACTGTCTTCCCTCTCCCATACGCCAATCGACTATCCGAGGCTGCCAGCCAACTGCCGGTGGAATTGGGTGCAGTTCCTATCAGAACAATGGTAGCCCGTCTACCCGTGCTACCCATGATCTGGCGAGTAAGTCGTACACCGGAGTACAGTAACGAACACGCGCCTACTTGCGTGAGAGGTTAATGATCTGAACTTCCAACGCTTGGCGTGGAGCGGATTTTTGGGACCTGTTAGACGAGGTTTACTGACGGGTTTGAACAGATTTTTATGTAAACGCACATGGCCTAATAGGCCAATGCGATGACTGAATGCCCCAGCACTGGTGCATCAGCCTCAGTACGATGTATTCGCAAGTGACTGGTCGAGCCGATGCTTGATGGAACTGTGCGGTGGCAGAATGTGTTCGTAGCTGCTGTGTGGTGGTGATGGCGGTGAGGGCAGCAGCGGTGGGATGATCGACGGGCATCGGGAGTGTGTTGCTTAAATCATTTCATCACTCCACTCGTCGCGAGGACCGCCATTTGGCCCTATGCGAATCAATTTTGATTAATATCGAAAGATGCTGTGGATTTGGCCAGAAGTGCCCGACTGAGAACAACCTGGAACTGAGTAATATACATCAGCAGTATGAGTAGCATCAAAGTCCTATATGTAACTATTTTCTTCCATCCTGTGACCGTCGCTGGGGTTGTACAGTTTGACATGTTCTATACATTCTTAAGCTGAATCAGTCCTTTCGTCTGCTGAAATTTAACTGCGTCCAAGTATATCCTTTCAGGTGAAGTAAGGAACCTGATAATCACAGCGCAATAGCGTTGTCCAGTACCCTCGCTTTTGTCTCAGCATTCATAGAAAGACTCCCAATGTTATTATTCTGTTTTATACCCTCCCATTGCCAGTCGCCCTTCAAATGGGTTTTGAATCCATTCATAGCGTCTTGGGTAAGCGAATTTCACCCCCTTCTGCCATGCCTGTGAACTATACAGCTAAATGTTTGTTAACAGTATGCCAGCCATTTCGCGATGTGCACTCCCCAGGTATATCGAGCCCCGTACTTCATTGGAAAGCAACCATAAAACCGATGGTTGCCAACTGCACCCCTACCACATACTTATTATCCTTAGGAAAAGAAATTCTTTGGGAAACAGCAAACTTGATTGTGTAAATTTTAGAGACTGGTTCCCCAGCTCTAGACTGAGTGTGACAAAAGGATTCTATGGTTGGTTAAGGTCATCTTCTCGGGATCTGTCCTTGACGATTTTGTATGTGGCATCTAAATCGATATGCCGGTTGATGCATGCCTCATCTGAGTGCATTGCCTCCGGGAATTCGCAGCCTTGATGATGATGCTGATGATGATGACGACGACGATGATGATGATCATGATGATGACGACGATGATAATGATGCCGCTGCTGCTGATGATGATGGTGGTGGTGGTGGTGATGATGATGGTGGTGATGATGATGATGATGGTGGTGGTGGTGGTGGTGGTGGTGGTGATGATGATGATGGTGGTGGTGGTGGTGGTGATGATGATGATGATGATGGTGGTGGTGGTGGTGGTGATGCTGATGGTGATGATGATGACGATGATGATGATGATGATGATGATGATGATGATGATGATGATGATGATGATGATGATGATGATGATGATGATGATGATGATGATGATGATGATGATGATGATGATGATGATGATGATGATGATGATGATGATGATGATGATGATGATGATGATGATGCACCGTTTCATCTTCCTAATATCTCTCAGGATGCCTGTTTTTCACTTATTATTCTGTAGCCTACCATAGCCTTTCCCGCCGGCTAGCCTATCTACAGTTCATTATGATCCTGTCCCTCCTCTTTCCTTTAGGCTGCATCAAAGAAGCAAAAATACGAAAGGATTCACGAGAAAAAAGTGAGCACGCCGGTTGAGTCACTTTGTCGCGGTTTTCCGCCTGAATTTGCGCTTTACCTCACCCATTGCCGTAATCTACGCTTCGATGAGACGCCTAACTACGGTTTCCTGCGCAGCAACTTCCGTTCCCTATTTAAGGCCCTTGCCTTTAATTGGGACTTTGTTTTCGACTGGACTCTTCTTCGTCAGAAGGCCTCCGCCATTCTGCAGCATTCGAACGCTGTTGCACATAACCTGCCCGCCACTTCAGCCCAGCAAATTATGGCCCAGGGACCGAGCGTTGACGAGGGTGGTGGCATGTCTGCGCCGGATCGACCTGGTTTTGCTGCTAAGATTTAGTCGTTCCCGCTCCCCTCCCGCCCTCTTTGATTGTGTGCGCGTTTCTAAACGTCCGAGCACAATGCTACGCCCATTTTCCGCTATCCTGGCTGTCTTGCAGCCACCGGCAAGATGCCTTTTCCCCCTCTCCTAGTACACCTACTAGCAATCTCAATCACGCATGCACGTCCTTCTATTTTTTGTTCTCTTGAGGCCGTTTTCCCTTCTCTGGCGTGCCACATCTCTCTTGGTTATATTAGAAAAAACTGTCCTGCTGTGTTGTTTCCCTTTCGGCCCATGTGTGCGCCTGATACTGCGGTCCGAGTTCCTCTGGTTTGTTTGCGCACCGCCGCCCACGCAGACACTCGACGTGAATCTACTAGTGCCCTTAAACACAGCACACAAAACCCATGTCTTTCCTTACACGCACGTACGCACACTCGGAGAGTTTAGCTGTGCTCCTGCTATCTCTGTTTACTCTATGTATGCGTGCATGAATGAATGTATACGTATACACGCACAAAATTGTGGAAGGCTGGCGTTTTCTGGATTTTGCACGCGTACCCACGCGCACGTAGTGCCTTGTATATCCATTTGTTTTCTTTATGCCGGTTTCTTCCTCTTGCACAGGCATGCTGCTATCAAAGCCTTTCGTGGATGCGCCTACTTTCTGCGCTCGAGGTAGACTGGGCGTCACAGACTAAGTGGGAGGGCACTCATTTAAGTGACCACCTATTTGACGTTCGTGCAGTCCTTCCTTTAGCGGTTCGCAATCTGCCTCATCTGCTCCCAAATCTGGGGTTGCGTAAGACTGGTCGATGACAGCCAACAAGTCAAAAATGGCTATCTCGGTCTTTCTTGTCTTTGTATATATATATATATTATGATAGTGGGCGCTCACCGATCAGGTTACGGAACATGCTCGTTCCGTTGTGCCTTGGGGCTCATACTTAAACCCTCGCAGGCAGTCGCACAGCGACTAGTGATATATGTTGGAAAGGTAATACCGACAAAGACAAGGGAGACCGGAATGGCCATTTCTAGCTTATTAGCCGTCATCAGCCAGTCATACCCAATCCAAAGTGTGGATCACTTGAGATTCGAACCCGGGATCTTTGGTCATGGAGTTGAACGCTCTACCATTGAGCCACGGGCCCGTTGTCCTGTCGGTTGTGATCGGGAATATTAATTATGATAGTGGGCGCTCACCGATCAGGTTACGGAACATGCTCGTTCCGTTGTGCCTTGGGGCTCATACTTAAACCCTCGCAGGCAGTCGCACAGCGACTAGTGATATATGTTGGAAAGGTAATACCGACAAAGACAAGGGAGACCGGAATGGCCATTTCTGGCTTATTAGCCGTCATCAGCCAGTCATACCCAACCCCAAGTGTGGATCACTTGAGATTCGAACCCGGGATCTTTGGTCATGGAGTTGAACGCTCTACCATTGAGCCACGGGCCCGTTGTCCTGTCGGTTGTGATCGGGAATATTAATTATGATAGTGGGCGCTCACCGATCAGGTTACGGAACATGCTCGTTCCGTTGTGCCTTGGGGCTCATACTTAAACCCTCGCAGGCAGTCGCACAGCGACTAGTGATATATGTTGGAAAGGTAATACCGACAAAGACAAGGGAGACCGGAATGGCCATTTCTGGCTTATTAGCCGTCATCAGCCAGTCATACCCAACCCCAAGTGTGGATCACTTGAGATTCGAACCCGGGATCTTTGGTCATGGAGTTGAACGCTCTACCATTGAGCCACGGGCCCGTTGTCCTGTCGGTTGTGATCGGGAATATTAATTATGATAGTGGGCGCTCACCGATCAGGTTACGGAACATGCTCGTTCCGTTGTGCCTTGGGGCTCATACTTAAACCCTCGCAGGCAGTCGCACAGCGACTAGTGATATATGTTGGAAANACCACGTAATGCCCATTCTACAAACAAGTAGAACGCTGGGGGTCCCACTGAAGAGCCGAACCCCTCGCCGCTGTGTCACGCAGCGGCAGAATATCGGCGAAACACGTGTCTGGGCTTTTAGCAAGTATCTATGTCGGGAGTACGGTATAATACCTTTACCATATGGAATTCATACTACTCGTAGTACTACTTGTTTGTAGAATGGGCATTACGTGGTTATTCGCAGTAGTTGATTGTCTTCGACTCAAATTTTCATTGAAATTTCGGTTCTGACCCTAAAAAGTCATGTCCCGGAGATTTAACTCCAAGTCCTGCACTGATTAATTTCTGAAATTATTCACCTGATATATATATATATAGCAGCGAGGAGGAACGACAGAGAATGCGGGTAGATTGATAGAGTACTGTTTCGGGCTTATTCTGCCTTCATTCAGCCAATCATAACCCTGACCACCAGCAGCTGAGACCAGAAACACAAACATGCGCACAGACGCACCTGGCGCAGTCGGTCCACCACTGAGGCCTACCAGATGGGTCATAAGCACTTCATCGAACCGAAGTTCATCAGTGCCTCGCCACCTGTCATTCTCTGTCGCTGCAGATCGGGTATTTATCAATCAGGAATGGGCGCACACCGATCTATTGGCTTCACAAAGCAAACAAGCTCCGTATGTGTGGCAAAGGTCACGAACAGGCAACCAATTACCAGGCCGAAGTCGGCCAAGTAATAATAGCAGCGAGGAGGGACGACAGAGAATGCGGGTAGATTGATACAGCACTGTTTCGGGCTTATTCTGCCTTCATTCAGCCAATCATAACCCTGACCACCACCAGCAGCTGAGACCAGAAACACAGACATGCGCACAGACGCACTTGGCGCAGTTGGTCTACCACTGAGGCCTACAAGATGGATCATAAGCACTTCATCGAACCGAAGTTCATCAGTGCCTCGCCACATGTCATTGTCTGTCGCTGCAGATCCCATCTCCTCTTGTGGGAGAAGGGATGGTTACTCTCAAAATGTAGGATGACCTCAGACTATCTTTAAGGAGAAAGGTATGGCGAAAAATACGGCCACCCTAGGCACCAAAACCATTCACCTGGTGGACTCTCCCATACGTGAAAAATGTATCTGAGCTCGTTGAAAGACAGCTGAAAAAGCATTAGATACAAGTAGCGCACCAACTTACAAGCACCTTGCGTACACAGCTTGTACACCCTAAGGACAGGATTGGCTATCTTGATATAAAAACGTCTTGTCTGCAAAATACCATGTTCCAGTTTTGATGCCGTCTATTGTGGCCAAACTGGGAAATCCGCCCCTATCGCATACATGAGCATCAGTTAGCGATGAAGGGACGAGATCACCTATCCCAGGTGGCTATGCACACACTGGACATAAAGTTGCATGGGAGAACATTCGCATTTTTGGCGCCTGCCCAATAAGGGAAGGCCGCGAATTCCTGGAGTCAATGCACTCAGATGAGGCATGCATCAATCGGCATATCGATTTAGATGTCACATATAAAATTCTCAAGGACAAATGGAAGCGAGCGCAGCCAATGAGGATGGGATGACTTAATACCACTGACGCACATTGGCGCAGACTTCGGCCATCCGTAGAATCACTTGTTCGACATGGTTGAATAGTTAACTGTGCATCAAGAGGCATGCCGATTTAGATGCCACGTAATATGCTTAGGGACAAATGGAGACGTACGCAGCCAATCTCGAACTCGCGGGTGAATGTTTTGGACACATATTGGCATGAACTTCAAGCAACCGAATAATCTTTTGTTCGGCACCGTTAAAAGTTAAGTGCCGTTGTACACTGTCAATGTGTCCGACGACGAACTGCGAAACAAGTTTCAAAGATGTGCAAACTAAGCTTTGTTTCATTCCCAAATAACTTGGTCTATTCCTACTTGAATTTCAGTGGATGCCCATACTTCCTTATATGTAGGCTTTGTAAATCGTGACTCCTTCGCCATCCGAATGAATGAATTTATTCAGATGGCTTCTTATTTATGTGGCCAAATGCGTTAGCATGTTCATTAGCTGGAGATACCATACCACATTCTTTGTTAAAGCAGCCTTATCGATTGTATCTCTTTTTAAGTACGATTGTGGTATTTTTAATAACGATTGGCTAGTTTTGGCACCGTATGCGGAGACATCAAAAATACGCATGTGGATTTATAGTGTGCCTTTTGGAAGCCCTTTTCACATATGCGCATGTCGGCGACTGACATATGGGGTGGCTGTGACAGTGTTGGCCGTGTAAAATGTGTTCAGAAACAAACGCTCCGCAACCTTAAACACCTTTTTTCCCTCCGTAAAAGACTGTAACCGCCAGAATTTCGAATGACAATTGAGAATGAGGCTGTCTCTCACAAGCTTTTTGACGAGTTAAAAACAGATTTTCAAACGGTGAAACGCCCTTAACTTGTTGTTGATTGGTCACAATTCTAATTAGTCAGTTTACTGATTACGTTTAACGGGCATTCGTCTGGGGGAAATGATAATATTTCAATTTGTAATTTTCTTTTGTGCCGAGGTCTAGTATTTAAAGAATCGCATGGTTTGCACACCAGTGCCAAATTTCGTCCGAGGGTACAAAAGTGCGATGATAGTTGGTTAC